CATGAGCACTCTCAGTTTCTCTCTGGTGTTAGGTTATAGCAGTGTATAGCGCTATCGCATGTTATATGTACGATTCTCTATTAACGTGATTAAAAATAAATCCAGTTCACAGACACGATGAATAAACTTGTACAAAGATTAATAAAGGATTCATTAATAAAACGAAATTGGATTGTCCTGTCCAATTATAGTACGACGAGCCATGTAAACTTTTCACCAGGTAGTAACCTAATTCCTCTTTTTTTTTAAAGACAATGCAGGTAATCATTTTATATTTTATAGATATCCTAGCTAGTAGAAGGTTTGATGACAGTTTCGAAAAAGGTAGAGAAACTCTTCTTACTTCAGAGAGAGAAATCACAAATTTTATCAAAAGGATGGAAAAGAATTATATGTACATGGGCAGGGAGGAAGTAATTCGAGCTTTAGATACTGTACATAAGTCCGTTCATAGTCAGTCGATAAAACTAGATCTGACAAACATTCAGGGATTTGAACATATGTGTAATGTGATACAGAAGGAGGCAAGATTTTTGAATATGTACGATACTGTACGTTTGTTACGTATTCTAACGTTCTTCAAGATCCCATCACAGACTTCATTAGTTACCACATTACTTCAATTACTGTCCACTTCTATGAGCAAACTAACTATTGGACAGTTAATGGTAGTACACGGTATATTGCAAAACATGTCAAATGCTCCTAATATCAATTATTTAAAAAGGACTGCCGTCAAAATTTTTACTGAGAAAGTTGAAACTGGAATTAATTCAGAGACTCCCAATTTATTGAAACTGCTCAAATTCTGTGTGATTATCAGAAACGAATCATCAATACGGCAGATCATTAGTATCCTAGTTCGTGATAAAAATAAAATGAACGCAGACTATATAGTAGACATTTACCATGCAATATGTGTTCTACCAGAATTATCTCCAGCTGATACAAGGTTGCTGTTTATTTTAAACAATATGATATTAAATAATGCCAAGCTTTTAAAAATACAGGATGTTGTGGATTTACTTACTTACATGGTTAATAAAATCGAGAATTCGTAAGTATTATGCATCTATAATTACTAAAAAGTTATTCAACTTTGAAATGTGTACGAATACTTATGTGAACTCCACTGTATAATTGCACCGCAAGAATGCGTTTTAATATTCTTCGTTGCTTCGTTATAGGCAAACAGAATTCTACAATGAGGATGCCATAAATGTGTTGCAGAGAGCACTGTTAACTAACGAAAGTGCTACTTTTCTCCAAAAGTTGACCGTCTTAAGAATGTTTAATAAAATACAGTATAGCTGCCCCAAAATGATAGATCAGTTAGCTAAAGAGTCTCTCCAAGATAGGGACATATTTAAAAAGTTCAGGAGGTCTAATGAAACTGAATTCATTAATGCTTGTGTCATCGCTGATCATAAACCAAACGATTGGGAAAAGTTCGAAGAATTATTAAAAAATTATATCGCCGTTCAGGATTACTCGATATATAGTGCAACATCTACTGCATTTCGTTTGCTCTCCTTGGATTCTTACCAACCAGAGTTATTGGAAAAGGTTTTCAAATTGTGCAACGATCTATCTAGTTTACCTAAGCCTAGTTTGTTAAATATATCACGATTATATTGGTGTGTCAAAGTCCTTTATCCTGATTATAAAGGAGTGATGCTAGATGACGATAAAGTGAATGAGTTGAATCAATTTTTATTAGAAATGAACGACACTTGCAATTTACCCAGTTTAAGGGAAAGCTTGGAAAAAGTTGCGGGTGGCGCAGAGTATGTAAAGCATGGTTTGAGAACGAAATTCGGGGAATTCGTTGGTAAGGAATTTAATGGCTCACGGCTAACCATAATTAGAATTGAACTTTTTAGATTATCCTTCGACTCTTATTTATTTTAGATGTCGTCATCGTGCAATCGGATGGTTCTCTTATGAATATTAGTAATTGCGAAAATATTGCATTTGCTGAAGAATTGACATCATTCCCAGATTGTATCAAGTAAGAAATGTTCATGTACACTCTCCAAAAGTTTGGAGCATGTTATCTTTGTACAAAACAAGTGACGATCACCTTTTTTGTAAATACACATTTTATTTGTAAGGTTAAACTTTGGTAGCATAGAAATGTTAGGTAAGCGTCCAGGGTGAGTCTCTTAAGATGATGACTTCTAATAACTCGTAAGATATTTGTTATACGCTGAACAACGCTGTAATAACGTAACGCTGAATGTTGCATGGTTTTCAGGTAGGCATGCCATGATGTATTTTTTGTTTTTCTGCTTTCTTATTGAGATATAAGGGTCATCTTCAGTTGTTTTAAATAAAATGCCCAATTATTTTTTATAGTATTTTATTGACATTTGAGAAAAAAATATTCGGTATTCTATCTAAGAACCTAAAGATGAGCCTCATGTCTCGATAAAAAAAACAAAGAAACAAAAAACAGATCACACAAGGCACTGACTGTTCCTTGGGAATCTATGCTACATTTTCTTAAATTTTTTATCGCACAACAAATGCCTTGCGAGTTATTCGAAATCTTCATGTTACAAGATGCGAAGTTAAAGGGGTAGACTTCACGGTAGGTTGAGTGTTAAGGATGTACAGGCTATACATATACTTAAACAATGCTGGCATGTTGAATTTGTTATTATATATCCCTATTACTATTAAAA